AGGCAGACTGAACTCAATAATTTGCCCCAGGATGAAAAAAAGTGAAATAACTTGGTCATCACTTGATAGTTGTTAGTTGAATGATATGCTTTCAAACATCATTAATATTACAGGTGATGAAAACAAGTTAGCTCTGCAGATGATAACACAGAAATGATTATAATGGGACGGTTAATGAGAAACAAACAAACACTGAAAGAACGATTAAAGCAACTGATTAACTCCGGTCATTCTGCTCCATCAAAATCTTGCTTCAAAGTCATTTTTAAAGTCAAACTTAACATTTTGAAGGGCATATAAATTTGCCACCTGAATGCCATATCAGTTCAGGCCTGAACTTTGCATTCAAAGAGACACATCCAATCTCTAATTTCTCTTGATCAAAACCACCCCAAAGTTGGCTGGTTTTTTTATATAAATAAACATAGAATTAATAGTTGTGAGCATTTGTCAACTTGCATCGTCTGTGAGACCAACTGGCAAGATATCCGACTACCCATCAAAGGACGAGTATATTGGGCTGCAGTCCGTTCTGTCCTGTTAGTTATCCGTCTATGAGACAGCCGTTGAAAGTAGAAGATAGGAAGTGACTACAAGGTTTTGATGATATGCATCTTCGTCGCATTTCTCGCATTTGGTGGAATCAGGGTGCAAGCAATGCTGAGGTCAGGCAAAGGGTACCAGGCAAGACAGGTCGACAAGTCGATTGATGAAGTTGTGAACCTTCATCGGCTGGGATGGCTTGGACATGTACTGCACAGTCGATCTATCGCCTGCCTCAACGTGCCATGGTAGGGAGAAGTTAGATTAGATTATAAGACGGTTTGAGGCGGCCAAACAAAGATTTAGCACCGGTCAATGAAATCTCTTTCTGTAGGTCTGAGTCGTTTGGAGCGACGTAGACTACTTGATTGGGTTCGCGAGAAGCAATGAATCAAGGGTTAAGGACGTTTAGTGGCATGGATGAAAATCGGTTTACAGTGGCGCAGATTCATTCACTCCTTGATATCTTTTAAAGCTTGAATATTCGCACTATCTTGTATCTTTAAATTGTTTATGCTCTCTTACTATTTTATCTAGTTTGATATCACTCTTTTTCTACCTACCTGATCTTCATGTACTACTGCCAAGTGTGCCAACTTAAGGTGATGCCGTTGTGTGCGAGTTTCTACGTTGATTTTATCAGTCAGTCAGTTGGTCAGTCAGTCGAGACATTTTATCTACTTATTATTTGGTTACAGAATAACTGATTATATTATTCGAGTATTCACAGAAAAGAACACTTCAGTATTGAAAGTAAATTGGCAGAAAGCCCTGGACCTAGGTTTCATATTTGCTGGCAATCATCATTATGACATATCTGCAATTATGAGGAACCTGGTATTCTCTCGGTGCTTTAAATCTGTGTCACTCAGTGCTAAAGGCAGACTTTACTGCCAAGTCGTCCAAACTGCATCAGTATTCTGTAGGATGGCAATATATACACGATTTGGTTACCAGTGGGTATCCAATGTAGCTGTCCAGTCCTTAGTGGTCAGATGAGATTGAATTCTGTGAAGAGGATTATTCGTTCATCATTATCTTTCAAATGCATATCATCATATGGATACCTTTACCAATAATATTTAAGACAACGTTTGCTGACAGACCGTTCTTACTGAATAGGAGTGATGACCAAAGTCAAAAGAAAGCCTGGTTTGCGATAAGATTCACATCAGCAACCTTCAGTTTAAAAAAATCTATTCATCATGTTCCTCTTTGAATTGCTTACCTTTTCTAGGGAAAAACTGAACTTCAGTCCTTAAAAAACAAATAAAAAACCCATTTTTGTCCGGCATCAGACGCACTATGTGTTTTTTCAAATAACAGTCTTGAGTATAGATTATCAACAGAGATGATAAGGAACAAAGTGAAATTCAGGTAGAATTTCTTATACTTTCGGAGAATGGAATAAATTAGTGAAATTTTACTACTAGTTTTACTTTTCGCTTCAATAATTCCAATTTCTTAAGGTAGGAGAATGTATTGATCATATACAAAATATATTTGCCACTGATTATATAATATGAGAGGTCTCACGGAGTTTTGTTTTCTGTTCCAACTACTCAGTGCAATTTAATTGGTTGTGGCTAGCAGAGGAATCCAGGACGTGTGTTTCGTCCTATTTGAGACTCGTCATCTGGATGTACCTGCACCTCAGTGAGTAGTGTGGTCCCCACTGAGATTCGAACCTGGTAGTCATCGCTCCAAACGCCAAAGAGTTATCCACTGTGCTACTGAGGTACGATAGCAACCTCTTGTACACAGGTTATTAGTTATTGCTACCTGTTGATATACTTGTAATTCTCTGTTGACCAACCGTTGTACCGAGGTGGCTATCATTCCTCAGTGGTCTAGTGAATAACGCATTGGGGTTTGAAGCGATGACTGTAAGGTTCGAGACTCAGTGGGAACAACAACACTCACTGAGATGCAGCACATCCGGCTGACGAGTCCCAAATAGGACGAAATGCGCATCATCGATTCCTCTGCTAGCCACAACAAAATAACTTATCGTAATAAACATTCAGGCAATATTGAGGCATCTGCACAAAAGCCCATATATCAACAGAGGTCGGTTAATTCGATCCTGTATGACAACAGAGAATTACACATATATTAACAAATAGTAATACTTAGCATATTGTTTATCTCATTCACTATTTTGCCGACTAATGTTTCAATGAAGACTAAAATGATAACGAAGGCATGTTACATGGCGATCTGTGAAAGGTTCTACTCTATAAACCACCCAAAGTTGATCATCATCATCATCATCATCATCATCATTATCAACATAGGACCAGGCATTACTGCCTCACGGTCCCACTTGCCACACCTCATATCAGCACATCAAGTAAAAAGGTAGTGAGGCGAGCGACGAAGATAAGTGAATGAAGTCAAAAGAAATATAAAGTACGAGAAGAAAGGAAAGAGGAGTGACAAAATGGTGAGATTCGGTATAGCGTTGTTAAGATGAGGATAATGTGTGCATACATCTGCGCCACTGACTTCGGTTCTCAGCCATATCACCTAGGGTAATCTCCAACCACTGGTTCCTCTTATCCCGTGGACCCCAACCACCTAGTCTGCATCGCCCCACATGGCTTAAACCAACAGTCAGAGACTTCATACATTGGTGCCATGTTTTAGTCTGGCCACCTCGGGCCTTTTTCCAGCCTGGACCCACCTCAGCCAACATTGTGTGACGAGGCAATCGGTGACTAGGCATACGTAGTACGTGTCACCCAAAGTTGAAAGGTTGTAAAGTTAAAGCTTTATTTTTTAAGTGACTTCCTTAAGTGATCACGTGACTGGGAGATCACACGTTCATTCTTGTCATGATATTGAAGCTTTGTTTTACATCTAATCTACTTCTCTGTGCATAAATTTCAACCTGTCAAAGGAATAGTCGTCTCAGATATTCTAATGAGCAAATATGAAAACAGCTTGGTGTTTCTATATTGTTAATTGCACTACCAACCATACAAAAAGTGGATGTCGTGACCCGGTAGCTTGGTGAGTAAGTCTCGGGTGTTTGAAGCGACTGGTCTCGGGTTCGAGTCTTAGTGGGAGCAACATTGCTCACTGGGAGGCAGGTACATCCAGCTGAGAAGTACCAAATAGGGAGAAACTCACTTCCTGGATTCCATTTCTAGCCACTATCTACGATTAATACTTAGGTTGATGTTTTATCTAGGTACTGTTCACTCTGTAGTAGTTAGTTGAAGATAGATTTCGAAGATACCAAATAACTTTCATTACGAAATGATATCAATCAGGATACCATTGAAATCAATCAATTCATAGAAAAGTCATAAGTGAATTCCCATCCAGGGTTCATTTGTGATTACCTTTGAAACTAATTCCCTAAAAGTCTAGTCAAACGCCGTGACCTGTAAGATCGAAGAAGCCGGGAGTAAGGACAGACCTGAACCGATGACATTGAATGATGCTTATATTACATCAAAAATGGGTGGGTGTACCATCGAATTGCAGCCTAGTGGTTCGGTGTTAACATGTTTGCTGAAATAGTCTACAGCCCTCAGTATGATCTCTCAAGAAGTTGTGGAAGCACAGCGCTTATGGATCACAAAAATGAACGAAACGACTTTCAAGTAAGCCCAGATTTTCTTGGATTCGCTGGCTAAAATCGATCTATGGTGAAAAACTGATCAATTTATTCCAACACAATCACTAATTGAGATTATCAGTCTAGAGTCATGGTCAACTGATTTGAAAACTTGAGTTCCAACCACTTGGTCACAGGTTCGGACCTTCATCAACTAGACTAGAGTCGGGTAACACTGTAAGCCCATACACAGCATACGTGTGCTTAGCAGCTTAGTCCTCAGACACATGGACGCTGAGTTATATATCAAAACAGATAACAAACCACTTGCTGATTTTAAAGCTCAGTAACTTCCTGGGACAGAAATACATTTATGCATTATTGAATAACCGATAACATATCCAGTCTATTCTACAATCGCTTCATATGTTTTTACATTTTCTGAAGTAAAGAAATACATTGAAAATGGCTGGTTAGTACGCAGGTAACAATCAAGTCAAACAGAAAGGAAAAGATTGATCTATTCAAGGCAAACCGGAGATCAGGTAGTCAATAAAAGCTAAGAAACAAGGACAGTGACTTTATATCACTACAAGGGGAAGTAAGATATGATGAAATTAAAAGAATAGTATTCACGTAAAAGTAGAAAGAAAAGGGTTTTCTGACACGGATGATGCATAGTGGTTAGCAGTGGAATCAAGAACATACGTTTCATCCAGCTTTAGTTTCACCAACCAGATATACTTGCATCCTGTGAGATACGAACCCAACACCCAGTACATATGCGTCCTTCTGAGGACGCCTTGATATAGCTGGTGATATCAATTTGGATTCCACTGTTATTGGTACTTTATTATTATGTAAAAGTATGATATAAATCATGACTTACCGAGAAGTGTATTCGATGGAACACCATCGATTGATGTAATAACTCGTTCAAAAGTTTCCATGTTCACAGAAGCGCCAACACCTGAAAAAACATTTTAGCATTCATAATAATCGGAGTAATAAATTTACAAGATAGGGACATTTATTACTATTTATTGACATACTTGTTATTCTCCGTTGTTTTGTTGGATCGAATTGATCGACCCCTATCGGCATATAGGCTCTGTGCAGATGCCTCGATATTGCCTGGATGTTAGTTATGATAATTTGGTTGTTTGTGACTAGCAGTGGGGACAATATCACTGGGGTGCAGGTACATTCAGCTGACGAGTCCCAAATAGGAGGAAACGCCCGTCCTGGATCCCTCTGCTAGTCACCAAGATCAATATAACATCACGAATAAATTATGTTTGACATAACAGAAAAGGTTTCTAGTTCAGGATGAGAATGACAATTCTTTAGTGTCTCCGAGCTTTCAGGATTATTCTTGAACTTTTCAACAACAGTGAAGGACTATGAAAACTAGTTATGGGTTTGATGAAAATCAAGGGGAAGAAGTACCAACGGAGTACAAATGAAAAGAAGGCACTGAATGCATTCATGTCAGACATGGAAATTGTGACACTAGTACCAGCAGACAAAGGAAGGAAACCGCCGTCGTGAACAAAGCAAATAATGTGAAGAAAGCACAAGAACTACTCAGTGATAATAATCTTATCAAACAATGGACAGCCAAATACAACGAAAACTAAACAATCTGATCAAGGCTAGTCAGATAACGAAGGAAGAACAATGGGGAATGAAGACAAATGGCTGATTTCTACCAAGATTCTACGATTAACCTGAAGTTTATAAGGTAGATATTTCATTGCGACCAGTAGTATCACTACTGGGAACATCGTCGGATAATTTATCAAAAGAATTTTACGATGAAATGAAGCATCCTGTTTCGTGGAAGTCAACACTCAATCAATTCGACAATTCAATTCTTGGAGAAAATAAAAGACCTCATAGGAGATAATGACGAAACAATGGTATTCTCCGATGCGACTGCACTTTTACATTAATCAACCCATATTTTGCCGAAAAGTAATCAATATCCTTCACAACAATGACAAGAATCTCCAAACACATACGAAATTAATGCTACAAACTTGCTGGGACTTATCAACCCATGTCTCACAATATACTTTTAATTCAACAGAAAGATCTACGTACAAACTAAAGGAACCACAATGGGTTCATCAATATATGGACTGATCGCTGAAGCAGTGATACAGTGGCTACAATAAATAGTCATTCCGATAATCAAGACGGAAAATTGAATTCTCTGCGTCGATAACACTTTTGTAAAACAGATGGGTTAGAAGACACTTCCAATCACACCAACCAAACCTCTGAAGGTATTAAGTTCACAACAGAAGAAGAAGTAGTGAAAAAAATACCGAAATCGCATCTGAGATGTTCTCATCAGTAGAAAACATGTTGAAATCTAACAAATTAAGGCGTACAGGAAGGTGATACACATACCTAAAGTTTTTAACTACAACAGTAACAACCCAATGTCTCATAAGAATAGTTGTGTAAAAGCACTATTCGCATCTGCTAAGACTCATTGCAGCATCCAACAACTGTGAAATTCAAAAGAAAACCATCTTTGTAGAGTGTTCAGAGCCAATGACTACTCAATCAACTTCATAAAGAAATGCTAATCAACCGAATACGAATGAGGACAATTACCTCGACTTATAAAACCAATTATTTTACCATAAATCGAAATGCCACAGAAATTGTCAACCAATTACTTCATCCATTGAGTATCATCGCGGTATACAAACCAACCACCCCTCTACAGAACGTATTATACGAACTAAAGTATCCACTAGCGAAAAAAGACAAGAGGAATATAGTCTACAAAATTAGTTACGAAGAGTGTCAACATGAATATATTGACCAATCCAGTCGTCGAATAGCCAGAAGAATTAATGCTCAAAATCTGCAAAACAGTTCCTGGAAGCATAGTAATCAAATCAAATCGAAATCAACAGACACGACCCAATATACGAACTACCAATGTGGATCAGCTAACTGGAAACCAGTCAAGTAAATGAATACTCAGACATTAGGTCAATTGCATCTGCTAAACGACAAAAACAGTCATAAAGGTCAGCCTTTGATAAAGAAGGGAAGATCTTCATTTCTCACAAGCCGTTCAGCAAGATGTTCTCACAAGACGTTCAAAGTCAGCAAATATCCTTTATTAACATTCATGCAATTTAAAAATGCCTCTTTTATGTGTGAAATAAATGCCAATGAAGTTACCCAGTCCGGTAACGAAATGTCTAAGAACAAATCTCAAAGCCAAAAAACGTTAGTTCTATTCTTAAAAGGTTCCAAAAATTCTCAAAAGATTGTGCTTTTCATTGCACCAATTATAGATATTTCGAATATAATGTATACAGCCAATAAGAACAACTGTCACCAGCTCTGGTTCGATCTGGGTAACGGAAGCAGCTTATTGTTGTAAGTAATAACCGGTTAACACCATTGAAATGTTGAATATCATCGTATATTTCAGAGGTGAACAACTAGTAGTAGTGACATGGGGATCCCACCAAACTATTCTTGATAACTTCCAGACTCAGTTTCACCAATAAGCTTTGACAATGAATGAAATGAGAAACAAGAAAGAGTTGATTGCCATTCTGAATGACGGTAAACAAATGCTAGAATGAATGGATATTCATATATTTACTCGATATAACCTCGTAGATGGCTCATTGAGAGTAAAATGATGAAGTCCAATTGAAAAATCTAATACTACTTTTTAAAATTTATTACTGGGGATTCGGAATGATCAAATTTGCATTATTTCTAGAATGAATTCTTCCAAAACATCGATATATCCTAGTTACAAGTGAATGGTGTAGATCAGGGTTCGATCTCTCACACATTCATAGGTGGTTATTGGTGAGGAACCTACTGATCACTGCTGACTCACTTCGAGGAGTGATTCCTGAAGTTCCAACGAAAAGTCGTGATCGGTGCAAGCAACCAAGCTGGACATGAGGATAGTTACTCAGTGACCGCATTGCATGGAGGTTACGCTATATTAGGAACTAATAGAAGTAGGAAATATCGACCATTGGATTCTGATCCAGTGGCTCAATGGCAACGTATTGGCTACGGAACCTTGGGTTCGATCTCTGACGAGGTGGGTTCATGAGTGCCCACCGCTTAAGCGTACCGTACTAGAGCAAGACAGTTGTCCAGTGCTTTCAGGTTTCCTATGTTTCTCTAACTGGTGTCAGTCTATGATGAATACTAACCTGGAATTGATAAATAAATCCCCACAAACCTCCAAATTGCATTAAAAATCACAGTTTGATATTTGACTCACACAACACACATAGATTATTAGGGAATTAATCGGTGTAAGCGAACAATAAAAGTAATTTAACGACTGGAAAATTAAATGTTGATGACATTATAGACTTCCGGTAGGATTTACCGATGGACTGATATAAAATGTTCTATTTCATTTCTATTTCTATTTCGTATAGATCTGAATAAACCTGGCTACTGAGAGATTGCCGGGTTATTGAATCAGATTAAAATCTTTGATTCACTTCTAGTTATCATACCAAACATGAAAGACAACAACGGCTTAATTGCATAACGCTTAAATGGCTTACATACTCTAAGAAGGATATGTTTAAGATATGTTCTTTTTGGGGGAAGAAAAAAAGCAGGCTTATGTAATTGAATGTTATGACCATCTCCTATCAACTATAGTGTTTGTCATTCTTCAAGGAAAGTAGATGGTTCGCAAAGATTATGGAAAATGAAATCAATGAGACAATCACATATGACTCAAATATTTTGATACAGTAATCACTCGCTAAGTACACTTTGGCATTGTTTATAAACTATGCAGGAATAAGAAAGAAGACAGTTGAATAGACATTATACGTTTCATATACAAGAGGTTAGGCTTAGACGTTCGGAAACGTTTGACTATTGATGTATTTTTTAAAAGAATAGCCTATAAAAGCAGGAAAGTTTATTTTTGAGTATCAGGGAGGGTTTAACAACAAACTTAACATGTTGTGAGCCCCCTCACATAATAGAACTACATCATTTTATTACCCGAAGTTAGTCAAAGAATTTCTAGTGAGGATACCAATCTGAATTATCTCACTTTCGAAATTACAGTTCCATTTTACAGGGAAGTATACTTCAGAAGCAGGAGAATGTACCTTAAATTTCAAAGACAAAGAATTTTTCATTTTATGTCTTCAAGCATTGGATAGTTAAATTTTATCTGACGCTATGTACTAGACTGAAATTTATGTAACTACAGGACTGAATCTATACGAAGACGATGATTCAGCTTAACTCGGTGCATGTGTCTATGCTCTAGGCTACGAGTTACACACTAATAAGGTTGAGGGCTTACGATACTATTCAGTCCCCCATGTCAAAGTAGGTGTAGCATGATTCAAACTTGAAATCCACCGTTAGAAAGATGATTAAGTTAATCTGCCTCAGCTGTTTGATTTTTTGTAGTTAAGAGGTAAAATTAAATACGTAGAATTTTCACTATCAGTTATCATTACTTACCCTTTTCAAAATAATAATGTGGTCCACCTATAAATAGTTGTTTCGGTCTATTAACATGTTGACTAACTGATGCACCAAATGTACAATATCTTAAATCAATTGATTTATCAGAGCCTTCAACATTTAAACAAATTGCACTTGGTGCAGGATTGAGTTGAGGATTTTCTAAGCGTTCATCAAATTCAAAGCATCCTCCAGGTAGATAAAGTGATGAAGCTGATGACCATGAAAGACGTGGAGCGCAAACCTGTTTAAGTTAAGGTGAAATAAACAATAATTAATTTATCTGTATATATTGAACATTGAGAATGATATCTTGGGTTAACAAGACTTAAATTCTACTTATCAGATTTATTCAAACCAAATCTGAATGTGCTCAATTTAAAACGATATATAACTGAGTGGTATAAACGATTGTTTTGTCGAACAAATGAATTATTTGGTTTCGAGAAAACTGATCTACATGAAATTTACATTTTTACTGGTAATTTTATTAGTATTTAGTATAATTGTTTTGATATCAGTCTCTATTGTTATATGGGATCCTGTGTGGATGCCTCTATATTTCCTGTGTTCTTAACCATAGAGTAATGATGGATAGTAGCTAGTAGTGGAATTCAGGATGAGCATTTTGTCCTATTTTGGACTCGTCAGCTGGATGTAACTGTTTCCCGGTGAGCGATATTGTTCACACTGGGATTCGGATTCAGGAGTGATCGCTTCAAACGCCAGAGCGTTATCCACTACATCACCGAGCCACAACAGCCACTTCTTGTGCGACGAGTATAGTTTTAGTGTTATTGCTTGTATTATACCATCGTTGATTGGACCGAATTGATCGGTTTCTATTGGAATATGGGCTCCTGTGCGGATGCCTCGAGATTAACCGATCAATTCAGTCCAATCAATGACGATATGGTATTAAAACTATTATAATAAAACTATACCCGTCGCACAAGAAGTGACTATCGTGGCTCGGTGATGCAGTGAATAACACTCTGGCGTTTGAAGCGATCGCTCCAGAGTCCGAATCCCGATGGGAACAACATCACTTACCGGGAAGCAGCTACATCCAGCTGACGAGTCCGAAAAAGGACGAAATGCTCATCCTGGATTCCATTGCCAGCCACTATCCATTATTACTTTTATTAGTATTTGTTTGATGAATCAGTTATTTACACACAAGAACTAATTTCGAATCATTCAATCGTATCTGTGATCAAACGTTAATGAAGGGATGACTCTGTGAATTTCAATAATGGTCACAATTTATGAAAAATGAAGTATAAATTAAGTGAGTTAGCCAAGTGAAATGACAACAATCAATGGTAAAACTGATATGTTGAGGATTTCTGCTTCTTGTTTTTCAGAAATGTGTCTTAAAAACACAATCCCTTTTCAAGTTGGTTCAACATCATCATAGATATAACTGTAGAAAGTATATAGTTTTGAAATATGTTTAAATAACATGTATAATAGTTTGAGATGGTAGACCACCTCCCTGCAGTTTTTATTATTATCTGGGATAAATATCCCCTAGGCAATATTTTAACGGAGTATATAAGTGATTGAAATTATTTACTGATGTCAGTCCATGATGAATACCTACCCAAAACCAATGAATAAATCCTCACAAACCTCCATATTGAATCAATCTAGTATGCTCATTGGTGATTCACTTTGAGAGGTGATTGACGAAGTACTAACCAAGTAGGACACTTACTCAACGATAGCATTGGATGGAGATCAGACTATATTAGCCACTAACAGAAGTAGGAAATATGGATCACTGGATTCTGACAAAGTGGCTCAATGGTAACGTGTTGATCCCAGGACCTGAAGGCCTGGGTTCAATCTCTGACGAGTTGGGGCCATGGGTTCCCACCGCTGAAGCGTCCAGTACTGAAGCTAGACAGCTGTCTAGTGCCTCCATGTTTCCAGTGTTTCTCCAACTGATGTCAGTCTATCATAAATACTAACCTGGAATAAATCCTCCATAAACTTCCAAATTGTTTTAACAGTACGTAAGATCATCTATTATTGTGATAGTAATTGTTAAATAA